GATTTTGATTTCGAGTCTAGGCTCTGATACCATGTAGTTTTAAGGAAAGAAATAAGCAATCCTTTTTTATTAAATTAACTTGAGAAGAAAAACAGGGGAAATATATATAGCCCAAGATCAATGAATCCGTGGGATAACTCTCCTATCCTAGGAGAAAAAATAGGAGAATATTATAAGCTTATCCTATCTGCTACCTAATATCCGAATCCTATATGCTATCTAATATTCGGATTTTATTTGAATAACAATTCCCTAAAACCTAGGGATCTCAATATCTTCGACACAAACAAGTATCAGTGCATCTCTAGAGGGTTGAAAACAATTGTTTTTGATTTTCAGCTAAAAAAAAAAAAGAATAACAACTCATATCAACACGAACACGTCCCTCTTCCCAGAGTTTTACATTGGGATCCATGGGAGTCTCAGCCGGTCTACAACCACTCATCCCGGTTTCCTTCAACAGATCAAGAATGTATTTTCGTTGAGAGACAACAATTCCTTTTCTTGAACGAGCCACTTCCATACCAAGGAAATATCTTAGCGCTCCCAAATCTTTGATTTCAAACTCTAATGCAAGGTTCTTCTTCAGTTTCTCCATTTCAATCACATCATCACCTGTGAGAATAATATCATCAACATACACTATCAGCACAGCAACTTTTCCTTCAGAAGAGAACTTGACAAACAAGGTATGATCAGCTTGTCCTTGAAAATATCCTTGTTTTCTGACCGATTGTGTGAACTTCTTAAACCAAGCCCTTGGGGACTGTTTGAGCCCATACAAGGACTTTTTTAACCTGCACACTTTTGAGCCAAATTTCTCTTCAAAGCCGGGTGGACTATCCATGTACACCTCCTCCTCCAAATCACCATTGAGGAAGGCTAGTTGTTGCAAGGGCCAATCTAAATTAGCAGCAATAGATAAAAGCACTCTTACCGTGTTCAATTTTGCAATAGGAGCAAAAGTCTCAGAGTAATCGATGCCATATGTCTGGGTGAATCCCTTTGCCACCAATCTAGCCTTGTATCTTTCCACTGAACCGTCTGAGTTATACGTCACCGTGAAAACCCATTTAGAGCCCACGGTAGTCTTTCCCTTTGGCAACACCTCAATGCTCCAAGTACTGTTCTTCTCAAGAGTTCTCATCTCTTCAAACACTGCTTCCTTCCACTTTGGAACTTTTAGAGCCTCTTGTACATTGTTAGGGATTTCTACACTGGATAATTGAGTGGTAAACGCAACCAGAGATGGAGACAGTTTTGAGTATGACACAAATTTAGACAGCGGATGACTAGTACAGGATCTAATCCCTTTACGTAGAGCTATAGGAATTTCATAATCGGAAGACTCAGACTGACTGTTAGGAAGAGAAGGAGAATTACTTGGAATTGACTCATATTTTTGATTTGCCACAGGTTCGGAATCATGGCTGTGCTGTTGAGTCAATTCGTCTTTCCCTTTTTTATGATTCTTCTTCGAGTAAACAATCCCTTTCCAAGTCGGTCACCTTCCTTGAATCTATTCCCTGTTGCTTTAGTAGAATTATCATATTGTGGCATTTCAGTAGGCTGTTCATTTTCTTTGGTTTCTAAAGATTGTTTTTCAGAATTCTGATTTTCAGTTTGATTTACAAATGTAGGCCTAGGTCTAAGTGAAACATCACTCACAATAAGAGGAGTTTCAAACAACGGGTCTTGGCCATTTATTGTAGGTGCAGAGGTACTTGGCTCAGAAAGAAACACATCATCTGAGAGAAAAAACTCACCAGAGCTAACAAATGAATCTTCTTTAAAATTCTCCCCCTGAAGATGAATTCTTTAAAGAATGGTTGTTTTTCAAAAAACGTCACATCCATGGTGACAAAAATTTTTTTGTTACCGGGTCAAAACACTTATAACCTTTCTGAGTTGGGGAGTAACCAATGAAGACACATTTTATAGCTCTGGGTTCAAGTTTTCCAATTTTCCTATGTTCATGAACAAACGCTGTACAACCAAATATTTTTAGAGGTAGATCAGCCGAAAGTCTGGTAATTGGAAAACAGGTTTTAAACACTTGGAAAGAAGTTTGAAATTTTAAAACTTTGGAGGGCATTCTGTTTATTAAGTAAGCAGCGGTTAGAACTGCCTCTAGCCACATATACTTAGGAACTTTAGTTGAAAAAAGTAATGCACGAGCCACCTCCAACAGATGTTTATTTTTCCTTTCAGCAATACCATTCTGTTGAGGTGTATCTGTGCAAGAACTATGATGAATTATTCCTTCTTCAAGGAAAAATTTCCCAAGATAAAGTTAAAATACTCCTTTCCATTATCACTTCTAAAAACTTGTATATTAGTATGAAATTGAGTCTGCACCATATTGTAAAAATTTTTAAAAACTTGTTCGGCCTCTGATTTTTCTTTTAATAAATATTCCCAGCAAAGTCGAGTATGATCATCAGTAAATGTGATGAACCATCTCTTTTTAGAGGGTGTACTTATCTTATTAGGACCCCAAACATCACTGTGAATAATAGTAAAAGGTTTTGATGGTTTATATGGTTGTGAAGAAAAAGATGTACGGTGATGTTTTGCAAATTCACATATCTCACAATGAAACAAAGAAGGATCTTTATTGCCAAACAACTTAGGAAACAAATGTTTTAAATATTTGAAACTTGGGTGGCCTAATCTTAAATGCCATAACATGATATTATTAGTAGAAACGGAAATAGATTCAAAGCAGGAACTTATATGTTGAGATTGTTGCCTCGATTCAGATCCATCATGAAGGCAGGAGAGTCCTCCACTCTGTTTAGCACTGCCAATCATCCTCCCCGAGATCAAATCCTGAAACACACAATGAGTTGGGAAAAAATTAGTTTGAGAGTTTTGATCACGAGCTAGTTTACTGATAGACAAAAGGTTACAAGAAAGTTTAGGAACGTGAAGGACATCGTGGAGAGTGACGGAGACACTACAATAGAACCTTTTCCTGCGATGGCTGAAAGAGAACCATCTGCGATTTTAATTTTCTGATTACCTGCACAAGGACTATATGAAGAAAAAAGGTTTGACACCCCTGTCATATGATCAGTTGCACTTGAATCAATGATCCAGGTACGATCAGAGTTAATATTAATGAGGGCTGCTTTTCGGTAATTACCTTTTTGAGCCAAAGAGCAAGGAGTTTTCTGAGGCTCGAGAAGTTTGTGCAGTTGGTCTATCTGTTCCTCGGTGAAAGGAAATGAGCTTGAAGAAGACTGTTGCTCTTGATCCGAGACACTAGCCTGAAGTGCACGTCCATCTCTGCCAGGCTTCTTCTTCCAGTTTTGAGGCTTGCCATGAAGTTTCCAACAGGTTTCCCGCGTGTGCCATGAGCATTTGCAGTGGTCGCACCATGGTCGTTCAAAATTCCTACCATCCTTCTTCACTTCCTCTTGGAAACCTCGAGTTACGAGGGCAGAGCTCTCTACTTCTGGGTTATTGGTAAAAGGGCTGGATTTGCTGCTAAGCATCACATTCTGCCGTGCTTCTTCTCTCCGAATATCTGAGAAGGCCTCACGAATTGTTGGCAGAGGCATCTTTCCTAAAATTCTACCACGCACCTTATCTAACTCCTTGTTTAGCCCTGCCAAGAACATAAAGACACAATCATTTTCTTGTCGTTTCATGAAGCGAACACTGTCATTCGTGCACTCCCAGACATCATCATAATAGAGATCTAACTCCTGCCACAAGGTCATCAATTCGTTGTAGTATGAAGTCACATCTCGGTCACCCTGTCTTGCACGCCATAGTTTGGACTTTAAACCAAAAATCTGCGAGGAATTCTCCAAATCAGAATACGTGTCCCTGACTGCTTCCCAAACATCTTTGGCTATCGGCAGAAATATGAAGGGCTTTCGAATTGCGGGTTCCATTGAATTTACCAACCACGCAATAATCAAGGAATTCTCTGATTTCCAGTTTTTGAAGGCCGAATCTCCATCTGCAGGTTTTGTCACTTCTCCTGTCAGATATCCAAGTTTCCCTTTGCCATCCAAGATCAACCGAACGGTTTGCGACCATTCCGTGTAGTTTTTTTCCATTTAGACGGTGAATACTCAGTTGGAGTGAATTTGTGGACCCCTCCGTGCCATTGAATGAGATGAAGGAGTTTAGATTCGAACTCGCAGTTCTTTCTGGAGCAGCACTTTCCCTTGGCGCCGCTGAGTCCTTGCTGGCTGCACCGGTTAGTGCTGTCTTCCACGAATTCTGGCTTGCAATAGAAAAACCCTAGATCGGAGCCTAAGGCTCTGATACCATGTAGGAAAAGAGGGCAGATTAAGGTGGAAAACCTAGAGAGCAGAAATCTCTCACTTTATTATTATTCATAACATAGGTTACATTAGTTTAAATAGAAGTGAACAATATCTCCGGTTCCTAGAATTAAGGAGCAAGAAAAAGGAAACAGAACCAAATCCGGAAATATCTAAAACAGAAAATATTCAAATTCTAATTTCCTGATTCTATGGGATATTATTTCCTAACTTTCCAACAAAGGTGTTCTCCATTTCTAGAAAGTTCGTTGCTGTCGAGTAACGGTACATTGGTGTATGATGAGTGGAAAGCAGTTCCTGACATTTGGAGGACAACAGCTGAGAAGTATGGCAAATATGTAGCAGTTACCGATCCATATCACGACCACCCTTCAACTTTGACTTAGGGATAGATCTAGGGCTTTAGGAGGGTCTCGTGTTTAATATAGCAGACTGGAAACGAGAAATCCATATAGCCGACCCCAATTAATTTGGGATTAAGGCTTGTATTTGTTGTTGTTGTTGTTATAATTATGTTATCTAACCTTCAGTGGGCAATTATAGTTGTTAGTATTATTGTTTGATTGATTAAGAGATTAGGCACTGAAATTTTTCAGTCTTTAAACACATTGCTTGAGTCTAAATTTTTTGATACATTGTCGAAAACGTGCTTCTAGAGTACTAACCCCTATTTATATCCGAAATTGTCTCCTATAGACTGAAGAAGTGCAGATAAGGAGGTGTTCTCCATTTCTAGAAAGTTCGTTGCTGTCGAGTAACGGCACATTGGTGTATGATGAGTGGAAAGCAGTTCCGGACATTTGGAGGACAGCAGCTGAGAAGTATGGCAAATATGTAGCAGTTACCGATCCATATCATGACCACCCTTCAACTTTGACTTATAAGCAGGTCGGATTTCCTTTCTATGTTTCTTTAATAGGTTCTTCATCATTCGCTTTTAATTTGGACCCTTAAGCACCATTTTCTTTTGTTTATGCTGGATTGGTGGCTATCATAGTCTCTTAGTGTCTTACAATTGAAAGTATCTTATGTTCACTAGGTCCCCAGCACTCTAAGATCAACTCAAAAGTAGGCTTTATTTTTAGTTTTTCCTTGACCCTTGAACAAAATTTATGCTATTCAAATTAGCATCAATGGTCTGTACTCCTTTTCAGCTAAAATGGATTTTAGATATTCTGCTAACCGTCACAAATTAGAACCATTAACAAAATAAAATTATGATTTGATTCTACTATTTCTGGGTGTTGTTCTGATCTATGATCAAGAGCTATTTGTTAATTGCTTTCTTTTACCATTTCCAATTTATATGTGATCTGGTTAAATCCATCAATACTCCTGATATTTTCTTAAACCTGTTATTGATTTATGTTCTATTAATGTCATCGTTGTGTAGGGGTTGATTTTATTTTTCTTCTCAATGTGTGTAAGAACTAAGAAAAGCAAGTAACATAATTTCTTCCTAGACTGTCTGGTAAATTGTGTCTTTTTCCAATTGCAGCTGGAACAGGAAATTCTGGACTTTTCTGAAGGCCTAAGAGTGATTGGTATAAAACCAGATGAAAAGGTTGCACTTTTTGCTGATAATTCTTGCCGATGGCTTGTTGCAGATCAGGGTATGCATCTAGTATCTGTATCATTGTTGTCTAACATTGTATGATTAAGGCTAGTGATGTAGAACCAGAAAGAGAAGATGAGAGAAGAGAAGGAAAGAGGAGAAAAGAGAAGAAATAGGCAGAAAATGGGGAGATAGAGAAACAAGGAGTCAAGAGAGAAAATACTGTATTTCTTATTAATTCAAGTCTGAATTCTAGAGTACCAAAGCAACCAATTTATAGGCTCGTTACATGACTAAAACAAGAATGTAAATGCTCTAAATTACATACATAAAATCATAATCAGAAATTAAATCATCAATCATCCCAATTAATTCACCAATCAATCATATTCTATTCCCCAATCAACCCCAATCAAATCTCCAATCAAGCCCATTTTGTTTCTATATCTTTTTCTAAAATATGTCTACATCTTCTTTGATATGTGTCCCACATCATTCCCTCCTAGTTGAAAAGAACCCGACTCCGTCGTGGTTTGCTGCAAATAGGAATCCAAAAGACTGGGATCAAGCTGGCGAAATTCTTCCTTAGTAATTCGTGTCATCAGTAGACGAACGATCCTTCCACCGAAAAAGAAAGCGACAAAGACCTCCAGCAGATGATGTCACATATTCAGCATCCAACACATTGATAATTACATCAGTCAACCTCGGATTAGTGGGAGGCGCTCATGGTTCAGCAATGGAAGATGGACCTGCAGACATAGATGAAGGCAAAACTGGAGGCTCGAATAAATCTGACACATTGAATACTGGACTAATAGATAAATTTGGAGGCAAATCAAGTTCATATGCATTGGATCCAATCTTTCTAATAATGGTTTAAGGGCCAGTGGATCGGGCATGAAGCTTTTTGACCGCATTTTTTGGGTAACGCTTGGGGGAAATGCGTACCATTACATAATCACCAACTTTGAATTCCTTGTGCCTATGATGTGCATCAGCAGAAAGTTTATATTGTTCATTACTTAAAGCAATTTTTCGTCTAATCTCAGCATGTAACTTGTGGATGTGGTCAACAAAGGCTTGGGCGGAATCAGAAGGGTGAGCATCAGAAGGCAAAGGAATGAGGTCAACTGGTTGTTGAGGGGAAAGGCCATATACAATCTCAAAAGGACTTTTGCCAGTGGAGCGGTTGACAGAATTGTTATAGGCAAACTCAACAATAGGTAAAATGGCATCCCAAGTTCCAGGTTTTTCCCCAACCAATCATCAAAGCAAATCTCCCAGACTACGGTTAATTTATTATGTTTGCCCATCGGTCTGTGGATGAAAGGCAGAAGAGTAATTCAATGTGGTGCCAAACAATTTCCAAAGTGTTCCAAAAGTAACTAACAAACTTGACGTCCTAGTCAGACACTATGGTAGAAGGTAAGCCATGCAATTGGACAATTTCCTTAAAGAACAACTTGGCAATATGAGAGCCATCTGTGGTCCTAGAACATGGGATAAAATGAGCCATCTTCGAGAATCAATCAACTACGATAAAGACAGAATCATGGCTTCGAATAGTCTTTGGTAACCCTAAAACAAAGTCCATATTAAGGTCACACCAATGAGTATGTGGGACAGGAAGAGGAGTGTAGAATCCAGTATTTTGTTTTTTTGCCTTACCTAATTGGCAGGTGCGGCATTGTGAAACTATCCGGGCAACATCCTTTTTCAATGAAGGCCAGTGAAAGCTATCCTCCACTAGAGCAATGGTTTTATCCCACCCAAAGTGTCCAGCTAACCCTCTAGCATGTAACTTCCAAACTAAGAAGTCTCTAAGTGAGGTTGATGGGATGCACAATCTAGTAGCTTTAACAAGTTAACCATCTCGTATAAGAAAACCAATATGTTCTCGATTAGGGCTATCTAGAAGGTCCTTGTAAATGGTGCCAAAATCAGGACAGTCCGGAAAGTCATCTTTGAGACTGATAAACCTCTAATTAGACAAGTCTATGTGAGGAAGGGGGCGGGTAAGTGATTAGAGGAATGTTAGTGTATAGATTCATGAGTGTATAGGCTTACGTGGCTGTTGTGTGGGTGAGTGTGCTTACGTGTCTAGGCAAAATCATCATCCTCAGAAAAACTCTCCTCGTTAACTACAGGTGGGTTGTTGACTCTAGGAAGCGGTCTAGGTGGTGTGGGCAGCATGCCGATTTTGGCAGTCCTACTTTCTCTATGACTAGGCGGCAGGACAGGATGTTGACCATTATTGTTTGTTTCTCCACTTGTTTCTCTTTCTGTACAATTTTCAGGATGCCGATGAGATTCTTAAAAGTCATCGAGCAAGAGGGTAACCGAGTTTGCAAGTTGCTCGACGGCGGCAGCAAGTCGATTGAGTCGGGTGTCGATGTTATTAGCCCTACACTTAATTTGGGTTTCTCTCTCCTCAGTACGGGTTTGTCTTGTTTCAAGATTTTGAAAGGCTATTTCAAGATCTTTATTAGTCGTGGTGGGATAGAGAAAAAAAAAAGAAAAAAAAATTGAATGTGCCGAGAAAAGGCTAAATAACTTTAAGCGAGAAAATTTAAACTCTACCAACAAACACAATATCAGAATAAAAAATTCAAAATAGTAATTATGCAACAACAACAAAAGCACTTTTTTTATTTTTGGAACTTTTGATCGGCAAGGGAATTGAACAGAGTTTGGCCAAAGGAATGAAACCTTTGCTCTGATACCAAAATGATGTAGAACTATAAAGAGAAGATGAGAGAATAGAGAGAGAGAGGAGAAAAGAGAAGAAATAGGCAAAAAATCAGGAGCTTGAGAAACAAGGAATCAAGAGAGAAAATACTGTATTTCTTATTCATTCAAGTCTGAATTCTAGAGTACCAAAGCAGCCAATTTATAGGCTGGTTACATGACAAACAAGAATGTAAATGTTTTAAATTAAATGCATAAAATCACAATCAGGAATCAAATCCTGATCCCCAAAGATTGCACAGCCCTGGATTGCCTTGCAAAGTTACTTGCTGCTTCCCAAGTTTGAACCTGATGGTAAGGGTCTTGTAATTGACCGAGATGGCCCCCAAACGTTTTCAGCCATTTCATGCCCAGAACCCCGTCTGAACTCCCCAATTCTAGTGTTAAAAAATCCCCCACTACTTCTATTGGTTGCAAGAAGAGAACCACTAAAAAATTTCCCGCTCCTTTCACTAACAACCCTATTCCCATAACCACACCGTAATCCCGTGTGACATCTAAAGGCAGTTTAAGCTAGTCAACAACTTCAGTGGAAATGAAATTGTGAGTTGCCCCATTGTCAAGCAACACAATCACCTCTCTTAGGCCAAATTGCTCATTTAGGCTTTGTTGTGGGGTAAAAACCTTAAACCGCACATGAGGCGATGACTGGGCGCCACGTGGCGCAATTAAAGCATAAAATAATTGAGACAGGAAGGTACGGAATGGTAGTAGAGTGCACTTCATGGACGTCGACCCTAAACAATTAAATAACTCCGCTGAAGGGGTCGACTAGAGGAAACGAAGGGCACGACATGGAGACGAATGCTTTACTGGCCATGAGCGAAGATCGCTTCCAAAAAGCTGAAGGCGACGATCCCACCCACGTCTAGACTGAAGTGACAACTGTACAGAGATTTGACGTGCATTAAATGCATGTAGAGTAGGTGGCGAAGCCGGTGGAGAAAATCAGGCAAACTAACTGAAATCTCGGTGATCAGAGACTATTGTTTCGGAGTTTGGTGAAGATATCACCGGATTTGAGTAAATAATTGATAATGGACTGAGGGAATATGATGTCTATATACAGGGGGAATGGCTTGAGAGGGGGTCGGATTCTAGAACACCTCTTTCCCCATAATTTGTAATTTCTAAAAAGAATAGTAAAACCCTCTCAGTGGATGTAGCTCTATATTGGAGTGAACCAATATAATTTCCAGTGTTGTTATTCTTGTTTTGAGTCTATGAATCTCATCCCTAATATGTTCACAAATGACCAGGAAATTTGTTATTAACCTGTTGACTAACTTTTACCGTCAACAATTGGTGACTCTACTGGGGATTGAACCTAGAATCTATCTCATCCCTATTCTATTCACAAACCACCAGGAAATTTGTTATTAACCTGTTGACTAATTTTTACCGTCCACAATTGGCGACTCTACTAGGGATCGAACCTAGAATCTCTAGTTTTTGTGTGTGTGAAGAATCTTACACTACCAAGAGATAATCAACAATCATGCCTCCAAGAAGAGTAAGGAGTAGTGTTGCGAATCAAGGTAGCCAAACCGAGGAGAATACCACGCTTCCAGCCAACGGAGGGAGGAGTGGAGACCAACCTAACTAAGGGAATCAACCCCCGGTGAGGAATGAAACTCTAACCCCGAGTATTCTGCAGCCTGACTCGATACAAATACAGGCCTAGTTGAACGCTCTGACCGACTTGGTTCAAGGGTGGGTGGCCACCATTGAGCAAATGGACATGAGAAGCTCTATGCCTCCTCTGGAGGACGCCCCAAGACCATCAAGCGCCGCTGCGGCCGGAAACTTGAATGCTGGTGACCAGCACGGTGCCCCAGAAGGGATCAGAGGAAGTGAAAATGTCAGGGAAAATAACTTGAGACCTCGACCATCCAAAGCCCTCGGCAGCAGGCAAAGGGCCGCCAGGCGACGAGCCCGGGAGAAAGGAGCAGATAGAGACCTGGAGACACCCCCTAAGGCGCCACCTCGAGGAAACCAGGGTAAAAGTACCCCAGAAGACTCAGGGTCGGTGCAAATGGGTGAAGATGTAAGAAACAAGCTGATTACCAAGAAGGCAGAAGCCTAAAAAAGGGTCGGCTCCGCAATCTCAACAGAGGAGTCAAAGGCCATCATGGAATGCGGGGCAAGCTTAGAAGAAAAGCTAACAGGTGACGTCGCCAGTTTGAAAAAAGATGTTAAAAGCTAGGCGAGTCACCAACAAAAGAACATAGGACAAGTGGCGGAGGTGGTTAATGTCGACATTGCTCCCAGTCGAGTCCATGACAACCTTTTTACTGCAGAAATCAT